TTGCTGATGGAAGTGCAAACTTGTACAGCCACTTTATGGCCACAATATGGCAGTTCATCAGAAAACTGGGGATCTATCTACCTCAAGATGTAGCTATAATACTCCTGGGCATATAGCCAAAGGATGCTTCATACTACCACAAGAACACTTGCTCAACTATGTTCATTGCAGCTTTATTCAGAATAGCTGGAAACTGGAAACAAAGTAGATGTTCCTCAACTGAAGACTGGGTAAAGAAAACGTGGCATGTTTACATGATAGAGGTATTAATCGGCTATTAAAAGCAATGATATCATGAAGTCTGCAGGCAAATGGATGGAACTTGACAAGATCATCTTGAGTGAGGTAACCCAGACTCAGAAAGACAAGTATGGTATGCATGCACTTATAAGTGGATAGTAACTGTTAAAGTAAAGGACAATCATGCTTCAATACACAGACCCAGAAAGGCTAAGTAACAAGGAGTGCTCAAGCTGGGGGCAGGGGGCATGCATGGATCTCCCTGGTAAGAGGAAATAGAATAGACTTTGTGGGTGAACTGGGGATGAGTGAGGGTGAGAACAGAGGGATCGGGCAGTGGGTAGGAGAGATGAGCCAGAGAGTGCTGGGAAAGATTACTGGAGCTGAGGGTATTTGGGAGGCAACGTAGAAACCTAGTGCAGTGGAAACCCCCTAGAATCTAAGAGAGTGACTCCAATGAGGTCTCCTAGTAACAGGGACATGGAACCTGAACTGGCCACCTTCTATAACCAGGCAAGGCTCCTAGCAGTAGGACTGGGACATCAACCCAGCCACAAAACCTTGACCTGCAATCTGCCCTGCCTGCAAGATGTGCTGGGGTAAAGGTAGCACAGAACTTGTGGGAGTGGCCAACCAATGACTAGTCCAACTTGTGGCCCACATCATAGAGGGAACCGGTACCTGGCAGTGCCTGGATGTCCAGGAACCAGATACTGGATAGCCCAGAGACACAGGATTGGATCAAATATGACTGGCAAAGAAGTCAGTGAAATAATTCCTAATGATATTCTGCTATGCTCGTAAATCAGTGCCTAGCCCGATTGTCTGATGGGAGCAGATAAAGAGCCCCTCACCCAAACACTAGACCAAGCCAGGAAGCCCCCAGAAGAGAGAGAGGAAGGACTGTAGGAGCCAGAGCAGTTAAGGACACCATAAGAATCACCACAGCCCACAGAATCAACTAAGCAGGACTCATAGGGGCTCACCGAGACTGAAGTGATAATCAGGGAGCCTGTATGGGTCTAAGCTAGGTCCTCTACATATACCTTTTAGCCTTGTGAGACTCCCAACAATGACAGTGGGAGGTGTCTCTGACTCTTTTGCCTGTTCTTGGGACCCTTTTCCTCCTACTGGGTTTGTATAACTATCCCTGGGCAGCCTGCTCTCATTACTTGTTCCAACTTCTCTATCCTAGATCTTTGTTCAAATACTTACATTTCTTCGGTGAATTGAAACTTGTTTGTTGGAAAACTTTGTTGAGGACCAGGTCACTGTAACTATTTCTCGCCTCAAGGCACTTCCCAAAACTCAGGTGCCTTCCCACATATGGCCTGGTGCCATAGAGATAACCATGGCTTAACAATGCTTCATTAACACCTGCACTCCCTGGTGAGATCTCCTGCTCATCAAACACTCCCTGCTCCTAACAGCCCCCTGCCTCACTTCTCAGCATCTAATAACTTCTGCCCCATGGCCAATGCCGCATTCCTCTATACAAGCCTGTACAAGACCCTCAATAAATGCAGCTCGATTGGAAAGTCGGTCTTGCTGCCCGTTCTTTGTATCTCTTGTTCCACCATTCTAGGTTCCCGTGGGCTCGACCCCCATTGTGCCCTGCTGGCCAGGGCAAAACTTGGTCTCTGTCTGGTGCTGACCACTTTGTATATTTGCAACTGTGATGCTATGCCCTGTCTCCAGGTGATGCACGAGCTACAATTATGCTCTTAAGAGGTGGAGATGCCTGCTTTTAAAGGACAAACACCTCTAAACGGAGTGTTTATCTTTGTTATTCTGTGCCCCTTCCATTTAAGTTAAATTCAAAATGGAGCAATGGGAAGACCTAAAAATATCGTTAAGCTTGTCTTCTTGTCTGCCCTAGTTTCTCTGAAAATAATTTTCTTCTGAGAACTGAAGATGACACTTTGTGTGAGTATGAGACATCTTAGTACAAGATGGTTGTTATGGGAAAAAAATGGCTTTAAAATTTTGAGGGATGTTGGGGTTGGAGAGATGGCTCAGCAGTTAAGAGTACTGACTGCTCTTCCAGAGGACCCACGTTCAATTCCAGGCACCTACATGGCAGCTCACAACTGTCTGTAACTCTGATTCTGGGATCTGGCACCCCTGCACAGACACACAAAACACCAATGCACATAAAATAAAAAATAAAAAAAATGGAGGGGACATTTGTTTTCTTTTTAAAATTTAGTTTTTGCCGTTTTCAATTGCATGTATGTGTTTGTATGTGTTCATGAGTACAGGCCCCTGCAGAGGCCAACAGTGTTAGATCCCCTAGATCTGGAGTTGCAGGTAGACACTGAGAATCAAACTTGGGTCCTCTGGAAGGGCTGTACATGCTGTTAACTAGTGAGCCATCTCTCCACCCCACCTTTTGGTTTCTGTAGAAGAATACAAGCACAGGAGACATACCTTGCTATGCTAAGAGGCAGAGACATCCCCTAGAGTTTGAGACCCCAACTTAAATCCAATCAGGATTTGCAGCTTTGCTGCTGAAAGGCATTTCAGGACCAGCCGGTACAGTAAAGCCCAGCTGCAGAAAGATTTTTTTTTGGTATTGTTTTGGAGCTGTCCTGGAACTCGCTCGGTAGACCAGGCTGGCCTCAAACTCACAGAGATCCACCTAAGTGCTGGGATTAAAGGCATGTGTGCCACCAATGCCCAGCCTGCAAAGAGGTTTTCAACACAAGCTTACTCCTATTTGAGGGTATCAGACCATGCCAGGGGCAGATGGAGTGGATTGAGGCCTTCAGTTGAGTCAAGACATTTTAGCATTAAGTAACCTACAAGTAAAAGGAGTCTTCAGCTTTCTCAATGCTAAAACACAACTCTAGACTCAAAGCCAGCCTATGAACACAGGGTTAGGTTACCCCAAATTCCGTGTTTCAACATAAAAGCAGTTTCGTGAAGTTCCTATGGTAACAGAACAAAGAAAATCATAAAATCAAGACACTTTTAATTCACACCGATGGAAACATCGGAGAGGAGGGTAACAGCAAGTCAGAGTAGACTCACCAAATGCCATCTGATCACATTCTTAGCCTTTTGGGTTGGGGAAAGCTAAGTTAACATATCCCCAAAGGGTTTTATCTGTTTATCACAGGTTGTTAGGTCTGACACAGAGGTGGGCCATAAGTGGCTATTTAGGGGGCTAAAGACAATGCCAAAGAAATTATAATTTTATGTAACAGACTCCCATACTCCTGAAGGCCTCCGGGCCCCAGCACTCTGACACCATGATGGAAGTACTATTTCGGCCATGGAACACAGCAGGTAGACTGCACCACCTCTAAGACTAAAACAAAGCCCAAATCCATCAAATGCCACAGTCCTAGGAAAGTCCCCATCTGTACTAACCTTGCTCTTTGACCTCTGAAATTCTGCTTCTGGCTAAATGTTCTTGCTAACTGAGGTGTCAACCCAGATGTGGTTTTGTGTTTGAAGCCCACCCTGAGAAAGGCTCAGGACTGCATCTGGGTCCCAAATGCCCAGCATAGTCACAGGCCAGCTAATAAAGACTTACCATTGCCTTGGACCTGTATGTGAGCGAGCTTCCCTGGTGGATACTTCACAATAATTTGGCACTGGACCTGCAACATTCCGACCCCTCCACATCACTGTCATTCAAGCCAATCAGCCTTTGCAGACTCAGTTTCTCTCCAGGGGCTCCTGTTCACAGCCTTTCTGGAAAACGTTAATTGTACTGACATTCTTGCTTATATGTTGGCAAGAGGTTGATCTTTCTGAGACTCTAAGTTAGAGGATTTCTTTCTGTCTCATAATCCCCAAATTCCCCATCTTTCTATCCTACCTCAATTCAACTTTTCAAAAATTCAAAATGTAATGATATTAATGGGAGGAGTGGCATCTGGAGTGCGAGACTGACTGCTGCTCTTGCAGAGGACTGGAGCCCAGTGCCTAATAGCCACACCAGTCGGCTCACAACCCACTGCAAGCTCCTGTCCCTTGGAATCCAGCACCCTCCTCTGGCCTTGTGGACACCTCCACTCACATGCATATAATCTAACATAAATAAAAATAGCACAATTAAATCTTTTTAAAACTTCAATCTGGCCGGCGTTGGTGGCACACTCCTTTAATCCCAGCACTCGGGAGGCAGAGGCAGGTGGATCTCTGTGAGTTCAAAACCAGCCTGGTTTACAGAGCCAATTCCAGGATAGCCTCCAAAACAATACAGAGAAACCCTGTCTTGTAAAACCAAAAAAAAAAAAAATGTAGATTTACTGGTGTAATGACACCAGTGTAAAAATTGAATCTACTTCATATCTAAAGAAACAAGACATCCTTAAGGATATTATTCTCCCCACAACATCCTGTAATTGACTAAAAAGTTAATATTTCAAATTTTGTTAAAAACTTGTGTTTCTACTTTTGACTTTCCGCATCTTTGGAAACTGTCTTTACCAAGTCAAGGTTCATTAAGTATTAGTTTGCACTGATGTCTTTTAAGTGACTTGGTAAACAACTGTTTGAGTTGTTTGGTGTCTTGTGCATCAGAGCCAGCCTTGAGCATTGGACACATTAGGCCAGAGGGCATGCCTGCTTTCCTCCCGCCCTGGACCAGGCTCAGTAGCTCTGTTAAACCCACTGAAGATGGAAAGATGCAGGGCAGCCCCAGGGCCTGGAGGAGAAAGAGGGACACTCACAGAGACTGTGAGTTTTCCAGGGCTTATCTTTTTAAAACTTCTGCTGTTGTGATTAAACACCATACCCAAGACAACTTAAAGGAAGGAGGGTTTATTGGCTTCCAGTTCCAGAGGCACAAGAATCCATCATGGCAGAGATTCACGGCAGAGGTGACACTCATGGTGACAGGCACGGGAGGAGGGGCTCACACCTTGAAGCACAAGCAGAAACAGAAAGAAGGCAGAAACGGCTTTGCTTTCTTTTTAGTCTTTAAACTCCCAAGCCCACCTCCTAGATACTTCCTCCAAGGCCACGCCTCCCAAGCCTCCTCAAAGAGAGGACCAACTGAGGCCAGAGTGTTTAAATGGTCAAAGCTCTGGGAGCCAAGTCACTCAAACCTACACAGCTGTGCCCAGCTTTTCTCCTTTAAAAGAGTGTTGATGCAAATAACGGAACCTTTTCACACTGCGTTGGAGAAACTGCTAATGTTTTCTTTTGTTCCTTTAGCTAACCAACTCCAGAAACCAGCTAGCCACTGTTTAGAAACGGGTAGTTGTGAGTTTCAGGCAATCCCTCTGTAAAAAGTTTTCATCATCATCACTTATAAACTTTAAAAACTGTATGCATGTGGGTGTGTGTCTGTGCACCACATGGATGCAGCGCCCTTGTCAGGAGCCTGGACCTGGAGTTACAGATAATTGCAAATCTCCATGTGGGTCCTCTGGAAGAGAAGCCATTACTCCTAACTGCTGAGTCATCTCTCCAGCCTTAAAAGGTTTTATTGTAAGTGTAGTATAATGCTGACCTCTCAGTGGCTTACATACTTAAAGGAACATTTGAGAAAAATCTGACATCCAGACAACCTTGCTATTTGAAACCCTGGTGTATATCTGCTTGCTCTGACAAAATAAGCATTTTGTCATTGTCTATGTGAAAACCACTTGCACATAATCCATAACCTACTTGTTCATCTAACACTGCTCCTGAACCTGCAAGAAATTTAAATTTTTGTCAGTGCTATAGATTTACCCTACTAAATGCTTTATTTATTTACAGATTTATGATACTAATGTTATATTTATTTACAGATTTATCCTACTAATGCTATATGTATTTACAGATTTATCCTAAATGCTATATTTATATTATGTTGATACTATAGATTTATCTTACTAAAGGCTATAGATTTATCCTACTAAAAGCTATAGATTTATCCTACTAAACTAAAGATTTGAAGGTTTCCTTCAAAAGTAGAAGTTAAATTAATATTTATATTAATAAATTAATATAATGGGCTCTGGGGCTGGAGAGATGGCTCAGAAGTTAAGAGCACTGGCTGCTCTTCCAGAGGTCCTGGGTTCAATTCCCAGCAACCACATGGTGGCTCACAGCCATCTATAATGAGATCTGGTGTCCTCTTCTGGCGTGCAGACAGATGTGGAGGCAGGCTGTTGTATTCACAATAAATAAATCTATATCTGTATCTATCTATATGTTTAATGATGTTAATTGTTGTTGTTTTTTATAAGCAAATCTGTACACAATTACTAAGTTTCCAAATAAGCTGTGGGTTTTTTTTTGGTATTTTTTGTTGTTGTTGCTGCTGTTTTTTAGTCTTTAGACAGGACCTCATTATGCAGTTTTAGCTAACTCACAGAGATCAACTTGCCTCTTCCTCCCACTGGAATTAAAGGCTTGTGCAACCTGAAAAGTTTCTACATGCTGATAAGCCTCCCCTGATGCAGCAATCCAAATCAGACCAAATCAAACCGAATTAGAAAAAGCCCATGTTTAACGGATACAACACTCCCAGGTGGCCTTCCAGACCCCTAGAGAGGAGACCAGAAAGAGAGACCAGAAACCCCCAAGTCTGTTTTCTGGGGAGCAGTTTAAATACCCTGTGGGAGTGGTCTTGAGCATCTCTGGCAGAGGGATCATCATTTGGTGGGCTTTCTGAGATGCAGCAGGGTTTGGGGGGAAACAAGGGAGGGGTTCTTGGGTAGAACTCCCACCATAACACCACCTAGCCTGTGGAATAGTGCAGCCCAAATTTAGCATGAGTTAACTCAATCTAGAAGCTCCCTCATAGACACACCTATAGGTTTGTGTCTTGGGTAGGTTTTCTAGAGCCTGTCAAAGTGACAATATTAATGATCATGGTGTCTAACAGACAATTACCAATTGTGTGAATTAAAGTTATTTAGTTAGTTCCTACTATGTGTCAGTTGTTATAAATGGGTTCTGAAGATGTTTACTCCTTGTCCCTTGAACACTAAGTATACTAGGGAGGTAGACAGTAGAAAGACACACATTCGGTTAATAAGCACACATGCTAGTATATAGCTTCGAACTTACGAACGCTTTAACACATGTGCCAGAAAGCTCTGTGGTGGGAGGCCCCAGAGGAAGAGCTTCCAGGCAAGACACTGAGGTGCACTGGACGAGTAAACAGATGAAGGGATGGCTAGCTGCCCAGCCATCGCGGTGTCTTGTGACTCATGTGGCGCCTCCTCTCTAACAGTGGGCACATGGTCTACCTGAACTGAGTGTGACAATGTGACCCTTCTCAAGCCTCCTTCCACGAAGTTAATTTAGTGATGGGTTTGGACCCCAGGCAAGTCTGGGATTTTGCTCAAGACCGTAAAGAAAGGCATTTTTTCTTTGGGAGACTGTACTTGAGAGAAAGGGGAGAAATGGATGGAGGCAATGCCTGGATCCAGGGATGCCTGAAACTCATGTGTAAACAGTTGGGTTTGAGTTCACATAGCCTGTAAAACTGTTAAACTGACTGGGTGTGGTGGTGCATGGCTGTGATCCCTTTACTTGAGAAACTGGCAGAAGAGAACAGAGTGTTGAGGTCAGCCTAGGCTACTAAGTCCCTGTCTAAAATAACGAAAATGGTCAGATTGACCAAATACTTTCCCTATCTTTTCATTAGGTGTAAGCTAGTTTACACAGGCTTCAGTCATTTGTAACAAGTTATCTTTATTAACCTAATAACCTTGACTAATGTCATACCTTTGCTAAGTCCAAAAAAATTGGAGGCCAGTGAGTACACTTACATAGTGCCATTTAACAGAAGGAGGGACAGACCAAACACTATTTCCTATAGCAGAGAGTTCATATTCCCCCACGTCCTCCTCTATCCCTCCATGTCTCTTCCCTTCCTTTTTCTTCCTTCCTTCCTTCCTTCTTCTAGTTATCCTTCCTTCCTTTCTTTTGAGACAGAATCTCACTTTGTAGCTCAGGCTGATCAAAAACTCCATATGTAGCACAGGATGGCCTCAGATTTGCAGTGACCTGCCTCAGCCTCCGAATTGCAAGGATTCCCAAATATGAGCCTCTGCATCCTGTTAAGAGAAGCTTTATCCTTTGCTAGCCACTTTGGTATATCCCCCGCCAGCCGCCTGGGCTCTGCCACATTCTAGTCCCCAAATAATCACACAAGACGCTGTATTAATTATGAAGCTGTTGGCCTTGCTTGTCTCTTACTGGCTAGCTCTGCCTTAAGTAATTACCCCATAATTGTTAATCTAAGTATGTCTCTTACCGGAGAATAGTTCCCGGCTTCCTACCCCATGGCGTCACATGTCGACTCTCCTGTGTTTCTCCTTCCCAGAATCCTCCTGGACTCCTAGCCCCACCTATCTAGATTCCTATTGGCCAGCAGTAATTTATTGACATATACACAGGACTTCCCCAACAGCATCCTGTTCTGAAGGGTGTACAAACTACAGCCTTTTCTCTAGACACCCAGGCTCTTTAGCAGCATGGTTGGTTGTGTGCCTAGCAATGGGTATACTGAAGGAAGGCAGGTGATGGGAGATAAGAGCCAGAGCCTTCCCAGGTCCTAGGAGGGCAGGGAGGATGGAAGACACAGGGTGCTGGAAAAGCACCCACTGCTTCTGCATTGAAACAATGCGTAGAAACTCAGATTTGAGAGTGGAGAGCTGGCTTCTGCTGGACTACGAACTGTACACATGCAGAGCCAGGTGACCCGACGGGCTTTCCCAATGGGAGTCTCTGAGTAACCACACTAGCAGGCCACAGTTGCCATCTAGTGCCAGACATCAGCTTTCGCAAGTTATTTACTGGCTGTTTCCAACGGGAAAGGCTTCTCGGGGCCAATTCAGGGGAAAAAGGGTTGGGTCATTATTTCTACATTTCACATTCAGGAAGACATTGAATATCACACTTGCAGTATGTTTCTCAAACTAGCTTAGCATGCATTAGACCTCGAGTCAAGGTGACTGCATGGAGGGCAGAGAAATCACTCTATAGCATTACACTTGTGTCTTTCTCTAATCCTCTAGAATGATATAGTTTTAGAGACTAATTAGGCAGGCCTTTCCCTCCCCAAGACACCGTTTCTCTGTGTAGCCCTGTCTGTCCTGGAACTTGCTCTATAAACTAGTCCGGATTTCAACTCACAGAGACCCACCTGCTTCTGCCTCCTGAGTGCCGGGATTAAATTTATTTTTACAGGCTGGAGCAATGGCTCAGTAGTTGACATCACTTGATCCTTTAGAAGTGAACCCAGCTACAACTATATAACTCCAGCTCCATGAGATCCTACACCCTCTTCAGGCCTCCTTGGGCACCTGCATGCACTTGTGCACTTATATGCATACACTCAAGCACAAGTTAATAAAATTTAAAAATTTCTAAATTATCTTAAATATTTAAAAATCTGAAGCCAGGCTGTGGTGACGCACACCTTTAATCCCAGCACTCGAGAGGCAGAGGCAGGCGGATCTCTGTGAGTTCGAGACCAGCCTGGTCTACAAGAGCTAGTTCCAGGACAGCCTCCAAAGCCACAGAGAAACCCTGTTTCGAAAAATCAAAAAAGAAAGAAAGAAAAAGAAAAAAATCTGTGTGTATAGATGATGTTTCGCCTCTTTGTATGTCATTGTGCCTGGTGCCTATGGAGGTCAGAAGAGAGCACTGGATCTTCTGGACTGGAGTTATAGGCAGCTGTGAGCTGCCACAATGGGCTTTTGAAGCCAGGTCCTTTGGAAGAGCAGCCAGTGCTCTTAACCACTGATCCATCTCTCCAGCCCTTCAGTTTTTACTTTTGAGTGTGTGTGTGTGTGTGTGTGTGTGTGTGTGTGTGTGAGTGCAAGTGCCCATGGAGGCCCAAAGAGTGTATCAAGATCCTCTGGAGCTCTTAACCACTGAGCCTTATTTCCAGTGCTTACCTACACACTTAAAAGATAAATTCTGGGGCTGGAGAAATGATTCAGTGGTTGAGAGCACTGGCTGCTCTCACAGAGGACCTGAGTTCAGTTCCCAGCACGACATGGCAGCAAGAGCCAAATAACCCCGGAGATCCCATACCTTATCTGATCTCCTTGGACATCAGACATGCACCTGTGGTGCACAGACATACGTGCAGGCAAAACACGCACATAAAATAAAAATAAATCTTTAAAGAAAGAGATAAACCCCATAATAGTCAAGTTTGTCGTGACCATTCAGCATGCTCTGGAAGGATGACTACTGAGAGTTTAATGGGAACCTACTGACAGAATTGTGAAAAGGGACAAGAGAAGCAACCAAAGACCAAGATGGTGACAGAAGGAAATGGTTACCACCGACAGTGCCGTTAGAAATGAGTCTGATGTTCCAAAAGTGACCACACACTCCAACATTTTTGCTTCTTTTAGGCATGTCATGGTGGCTCACACATTTAATCCCAGCACTTGGGAGGCAGAGGCAAGAGGATATTTATTAATTTGAGGCCAGTCTAGTCCACATAATGAATTCCAGGACAAAAACAAAACCCAAACCTAAAAAAACAAAACAAAACCAAACAAATCAAAACCAAACAAAGCAAACTTCTGCTGTGAAGAACCGTCAAGAAAGCACATCCAACAGGAAGTCCAGAGTTTTTATTCCTACCTCTGTGTCTCATTTTGATTGGTCAGTGCCCAGCCTCACATTCTTATGTGATTGCCTAATAATACAGAATGGAACAGCTTCTAGGGAGAAATGAAATTTGAGCACATATTTGATTCCAGAAATTGCTGCCTTTGGTGGAATTTTCACCAAATGAGCCTTTTTTCCTTCCTTCCTTCCTTCCTTCCTTCCTTCCTTCCTTCCTTCCTCCTCTTCCTCCTTCCTCTTGTCCTCCTTCTTCCTTTTAACTCACTCTTGTAGACCAGGCTGGTCTTGAACTCAGAGACCCACCTGCCTCTGCCTTCCGAGTGCTAGGATTAACTGGCTCTTTCTTTTGTGACAAGATCTACTTCACTATGTAGCCCTGGATGGCTTGGCACTCACTGTGTAGGCCAAGCAAATGCACAGAGATCTGCCTGCCTCTGCCTCCTAAGGAAGCAAAGGAGTGTGTCCCATCACACGAGTCATACCCAATGGGCCAATCACACTTCCCCCTCACCCAGGCTGTAGATGGAAGTTTCTGTCTATTAATTGTAAACTGTCTGGCCTATTGCTAAAGCTTATTACTAACCAGCTATTACACTCAAATTAACCCATAATTCTTAGCTATGTTCAACCATGTGGCTTGGTACCTTTTCTCAGTGAGGCATTCTCATCTTGCTTCCTCTGCGCCTGGCTGGCGACCCTGTCTCTGCCTTTCTTCTTCCCAGTAGTCTGGTAGCCTACCTATACTTTCTGGCTGGCTACTATATGTGTGACAAATCTTTAGAGTGAGCAAGAGCATTATCCCATATCACCCAGACACTCCCTTTCAGACAGCTCAGAACTATCCTCTGGGAAAATGACCTCTTTCTTCATGAAGGGGCTAGCAGAGATCGAGGTACCCTTGTCTGACTGATCCCAAGTACAATCCAATTAAGGTTATTTAGTTAGGGTCCCTCCACCTCCATTAGATTTGCCTACAAGCTATATGATGCAGGCATTCTCTGGACCCCAGGGGCCTCTTTCCAGACAACCCAAGTTGGCACAGCATGTTATAGAAGCAGTTGTTAGAAGGCATGACAAAGCCACTCACCCGTGGCTGGAGGGGTGAGAAAGGAGATCTTTCCTGATGGAAAATAGGCTGAAAGGAAGAGGTATCACCCAGCCAGTGGTGCTGTTTAGTAGACAAGCTCAGCAAGAGAGAGAGAGAGAGAGAGAGAGAGAGAGAGAGAGAGAGAGAGAGAGAGAGAGAGAGAGAGAGACCTTCACTACTCTCAAGGGAGACCAACGGCTCTCTACCAGTCGCCAGGGGTTTGGAGAAGTCCACCTGGAGACGATCAGAAAGGAATGGTTTCTGATAAGGGAGAAGAAGAAAACATCGTCTCAACATGCACCCTATGCTGAATGAACCAGTGCTTAAGAGTGGGTTAAAAGACGTCCACGAATGCCTGAATAAAGAATTCACAGGTTTTTTTGGGGGGTAGCGCTCCCACAGTGAGGGTAAATAACTGATATGGTCTTCTGCTCCTGAAGGTGCAGTGTCTGCTCTGCAGGATGCTCCAACCACGAGAGAGAGAGGGAGAGAGAGAGAGAGAGAGAGAGGTAGAGAGAGAGAGAGGGAGGGAGGGAGAGAGGGAGAGAGAGAGGGAGGGAGAGAGAGAGAGAGAGAGAGAGAGAGAGAGAGAGAGAGAGAGAGAGAGGGAGGGAGGGAGAGAGAGAGGGAGTGCTCCAGCAAGCGCTTCCTCATCTTTATAAGGGGTCATGTCCCGACACTGACGCCACACCCTAAGGTCTATTGTCAGAACAGGATGCCACTACAAGTTCTGGATGCCAGGAGTACAATAGATAGATGGTCTCTGTCAGACTCTCAACAGGAAAGAGGGGACTAGGGGTTAGGGGAGGGGAGAAAGGAGTGGAGGAGAACCCCCATGGAGAGCCTGCACCCCTGCTTCCCATCTGGGATGCCAAGTGAAAGGTCAATGAGAAGGGATTGCGTGATCTAGACAGTGCAAGCCTTTATTGGAAGCAAAGCCTGCAGAGGCAGCCCCTGTAAGAATCAGAGGCAATTGTCCACTTACAGCTGAAGCAGTCACAGGGCAGGAGTGTAGGGATAGCAAAGGAGGCTCAAGAGCTTCCTGCTTTGGCCCACAGCTGGCCATTGCAAGCAGTTACCAGCAAGCAATCAGCTAAAGAATGTGAGATGATAACTATCATTCCTGGCTGGCCATTACTTAGGGCCCTTAGGGCAGGGAAGGCAAGAAAGTAGAGAAATAAGGTACTTGACTTCAAGGAACCAAATGACCATAGCTACAGGAATTATCATAGTTCAACCAAACTGGAGACCTTTACAAACTGGTGTGGCTGTGGCTAGCCATGTGGACTTAACCAAAAGTTCATATCTCTTATATTTTTGCTTGTGAGCCTAGCCTTTATATGGCTGAGCTATAGCCAGTTCCAGGACAGCCTCCAAAGCCACAGAGAAACCCTGTCTCAAAAAAACAAAAACAAAAGAAACAAAACAAAAAAGTTCATATCTCATTGAATCTGGAGTCAAATGTGTAATTGTGACTCGCTCCTGCCACTGGAGAAGTCATAGGTCACAGGAGTGAACCTACTACTGTTACCTGCTAAATGGACTTGTTATCAAAGTCCTTCTTAAATATTTATGTTTATATCCACAAACTAGTGCCATCCTTACACTCGATCAAAGTTTCTGTTTAAGGTGAACA